CCCCTTTGGTTCTGGTATCTTCCTCTCTCCCTCCCTCTGCCCCCGTACTTTTGGCAATATGACAGGCCTTCTGCCCTAGATGAGAACTCGAAAGTCAGCCATTCCCACCCTTGAAGGTTGTGCCAGCCCCACCCCCAGCAGAGGGTCTGAGCAGCCCCGGCGGCTGCCTGTGCTCAGCTCCTCAGCTACATGGAAACCAAATCCTGTGTCTCTAGGGTTAGAGTTACAGAAGTTCTCTTCTCTTCCCTCCCCTGTTGCTGCTCCTTGGTTTTAGAATATGGTAAATATTTATTACTTTCAGAGAAGTCAGATATTTTATAGAGAAATTATGTTTGAGGTTAGATGTTTTCACTTGGGGAAGGTGAAGGGCCTCTTCCTGGGGCAGGGCCTGTTCCTGGAGGTTCCCCAGATTCCAGGTTGCTGCTCTGGGGGTCTTCCCACATATGGAAGGTGGGAGCCAAGAACAGGGCTGGCGAGGGCAACAGACCTCCCAGACTTGCTGCATTTGCACTGACAACAGGCTTTACCTTGGACACCTACCTGTTCCCGGCAAGAGCCTGGATCTCTCACGGCGCCTGCAGTGACTGGCGTTGTTCTGGCAGCCGAGGAAGCCGTGTGTGCTGTATGTGGTGACCCCTGGAGTCGTGCTGCACATTGTGTCCAAGGGCATTATGTGTTCCCACTGGTGGGCCTGGGGATGTCCAGGCAGGCCCCTCCTAAGGTACTTGCTTCTGTTCGTCAGGGCTGCGTTATGGGCCCTTTTCTCCTTTCACCTGGGCCTGGCCACCACCCTCCTTTAATCCCACCATCTGTACCCTGCCCTGAGGTTTACTCGTTCCTTGTTGAGAAACTAAAGCTGGCACATGATTGACTTAACCCTTCAGGTATTGTTACTTGGGTAAGTCAAGTGCTTGGCCTCATCCTCCTAGGCTGTCCCTTTACCAGCCTAACTGGTTGTCTTGGCCGTGGAAACCTAGGCCTGCCCCTTTCCCTCCTGACCCACCAGGGGTGTTCATTGGCAGCAGCTGGAGCACATGGCCCTCAGTTGCTTGTAGTAAATGCATGTGATGTTGTTCCCATGGACGAAGCTGAGCTCTGAGGGCTTGTGGGCCTGATGCTGTCTCCGTGAGGCTGAGCCTGCCTGTGCGTGTTCTCTGCCACAAAGAGATGTTCCCAGCCGTGGTGTCCAACTGGCCCTCCTGTCTGGGCCAGAGCACCCCCAGGG